GGAGGATTATTTCAAAAATATCCGAAATAAAAATGTACGGAACGTGCGGAACTGGCTGAGCAAGTGGAACGGTTAACAGTGGAGAATTGTCAGACACCGCGAGGACAGTTTACAAGGATGATATTTTTTCCGAGACACCTCGATAATACGATGGGCACCGACTTTAAGTAATTTACGTTCGATTTTACGACGTACACAGAGCTCGTCGATGTCCGGACGCTATGATCGATTCGCAACAGCAATGTTTGAATTCGATCAAAATATACAAATTGACGATCAGTTGTGGAATAAGACGTCTCGTGTCGCGATTTCGGTTGTGAGATCGGCCACGAAACGAATGTCGTTCCAGCGATTTGGACAAAAGTCAATTCGGCATTGACCACAACATGAAAGAGACTGAACGAGATGTATCGAGTTGTTTTAACTACGAATACACGATCACGATACAGTATATTGACACTGATTTCATCGCGATATATCGATATTGTTTGACGAAATATCTCGTTTACAACAACGAAGAGGTTAATCGTCAGAGGGCTTTGTATTAATTCAAAAGAACCGTTTTAATCGAAAATCAAAAGTATTAGACATATTGTGTCTGTAAATTTATTTATAAAGATTTCAAGTCCTTTAAATAATTAATTTATATATATATATGAAATTCATATTTATAATATTTTTTGAATTTTGAAGATTAATAGTTTTACTTAACTTAAAATTAACATCAATTGATTGATTAATAGTTTTAAACTTGTAATTTAATGTTTTTCTATAATTAAAATTATTTATAAAATTAAATATAGATTCGTCGTTAATTTGTACACGTAGTTTGACACGTAATTGACTATATTGATATTGTTCGACGAAACATCTCATAACAACGAAGGTTAATCGCCAGAGATCATCAATCAGAGATGAAAAATTTGGATGATTCGTCGTTAATTCGCACAGTTTGACGAAAATTCGTGTTACTTACATCGTTCGACGAAACAATCTCGTCGATAACAACGAAAAGATTAATCGTCAGAGTATTGTTTTTGCATCAATTCCGAAGCAACGTTCTGATCGAAATTGAATGACGAAAAATTTCATCAAAATGATTCATCGTTAATTTGACAAGCTTCGTATACCGCTGCTATCAAGTATCGATCCAGGTGCCCGGTTACCCGGTTGTAATACACGCAGAGAAAGCACTTAGGCGAGATGGCCGATGTGTGTGCGGTGCAAAGAAAACGCAACACCCGTCTCGCTCGCGGTAAGGTAGGTAATATCAAACGAGGCAGACGTTGTACGGATTCTGTTACTAATATGCCCCGGTAGCGCAGGAACCCCTGCGCTGCATATTATCCGATACCAATAATGCGGCTAATCGAGTTAGCCTCACCCCTTAAGCTGATATGCAGCTTTATACGAGCTCAGCCCGTAACGATTGCAACGCGGCCCGCGCGCGTCACTGAACGCGCGATTGCCAACAAATTTTCATTTCGCGTCCACGCCGCCCGTCGTTTAAATTCGCGAGAAAATAATAGCAAATCACGTGCAGACAACAACGACACCGACTCGTTCCTTCGCGAGACGAAGAGCATCGATTTCTATCGTTTACGGTGATCGCGAAAAAAGAAAAGAAAAGGAAAATGACGATCGCGGAGAGAGAATCGCTAAGAGAGGCTGGACTTACGCAGGTTCGAACAGTAATAGTTCGTAACATTGAACGCGTGACTATATTAATTGCCACTGCGCTTTAAATTTGACCCCTTTGAGCGTTTACGTCGAGTGTACTCGTCGTGAAAAGATGGAATTCTCTTGTTTAATATCGAGTATACTCGTCGCGATTGAAAAGAAATTCGCTTTTGCTGTTTATTGTAAAATTTAAGTAATTAAGAAAATTATATATATTTGTAATTTCGATACATTTCAGGGCAATAAAACAGACAAAGGAAATTCCCAATTAAAGACATTTAATTAAGACACTTCCCGGATTTGATATCGAGGACAGATTTGGAAAATAATCCTGCTAGTTCGTATTGTTTCAAAAAAATGGGATTCGAAAAGAATCGATATGGGTATTGTTTTAAACAATTCCCCTCTCTCAAAACAAGTTAAATTTATCTCTAATCATTTTAATTTTACAAACCATCGATTTTCTTGCTTCTTTTTACGAACTGATGAAAAATTCAAGTTCTTTTCTCCACACTTCGAATTTTTAATGGAATAATATTCAAAGAATAAAACATCAAGTTCTGTAAACAACCATGAATGAAATTAAAAATTTTTCAAAGAAACACCAAAAAGATTTATCATTTTGTTATAACCTAACTCTTCATCTTACAGCAAGTGGCTCTTGTCGAGTACACTCGTCGTATATTTTCAATACATTCTAAAAATAAAACAAAGGGTTCGATTCGTTCGATTTCACAACAATTTCGATCCATTCCCTTCGAAATGCTGTTCGAACAGCTGCCATTGTCAATGAGATTTATAAATATTCGCAAGCGCGCTGTGATCGAAATCCACAAATCAAACATCAAGAAGTCGAGAGAGAAGCGCCGGAACACCGAACAGCCTAAAAAATTCGCGTTGTCTGGGCAGCGTGCCTTATTAAACGCCTTGCGGTTATAATCTGTATAGCACAGGTGTCCCGGTGGTTACGAACAGTCGTTTCGATGGTACGAAACGAGATGTGCTGGTTTCGCTTGGTTTCTCGCCAACACGACGAGAAACACCAACCGACGATCAGCCTTCGAGTTCGACTTCGGCATTGCGAGCCAGATATCCTCGTCGAAAATTATAGTTATCGAGCGTTCGACAAAGTTTCTTCTCGAATGTGACGCGTTGCAACGTCACCTACCCTTGCTTCAACGCTTTACGATCTCTAATTACAACGATTGTGCGCGTTATACGAGTTTCGCAGAGCGGGGGGAGGGGGGAGGGGGGAGAGAGCGAGCTATTGTTCCTGTTGGCTGGACGATGGTTCCGCGCTTCTGGGAAAGATTCAGGAGGAGAAAGGCGGGAAAGAAGGGAGAGAAATCGAGCGAGGAGCGAGCAGGATCGGAGAGAAGAATCATCATCAGGCCGGACGAGTTGGATTCCTCGTTTTCGTTCGTCCAATCCGCGCTCGAATCTTCGACCCTGCCGGGCGTGCAAACGATTCGGGCCCCGTGTACCCCGGCAGGGCGGCGCGATTCGACAGCCCCCGAGCGATATATATTCAAAACGATCTCTCCTTCTCTCCCCATCGTTGGAACGTCGGTATCCACTAACGCTGGTTGGAAACCAGCCTCGTGAGTCACGGAAAACGGGATGGAAATGAACGGCCTTCAGGGCTGAAATGTACGCTTTCCGCAATTGCACTTCACCTCCACGAGTGATGATACAGCGGCTGCGAAATGTGGAAATTTCGTGTATGTGTGTTACGACGAATCCAACACATACTTCGATATCTCGCGATCTGAACGTGATCGGGATCGTTCTCGAGACGAGGCCAGCTGTTTGTTTTCTCGTTGCGAGTGACTTCTCACGCTCTCGAAATGACGACGGAGAAGATGGAAGGAACGAATCACGAATGGGGCGCGTTCGATCGCTTTGCAAATCCTCGATGTTGCCCGCAGTTGCGAGGCACTCTCAGCTGCCGCGTGAATCCCCGGGGCATCACGATGCGAAATGCTCCGACGATATATATATATATATATATATATATATATATATATATATATATATATTCGCGGTCGTTTGCCCTCTCCTCCTACCCAACCCTCTCTCATCCGTCTTCGCGTTCCTCAGGATCGTCGTTCCTCCCCGTCCTCCTTCGTCCAGATGATCCTTTATTTTCCCTCCCGTCTCGCAGCTCGTCGATCCTCAACGTCCGCTGTGCAACGCGAAGTCTGTCTCGCGGAAAATCCACGCTCGAAAACCGTCGTGAAATTTGAGACTGACCGGCGAAAGCAGGAAAAAGAAACCCTGCAGCGCTTTCGCGAACGTTGCACGCGAGCGTGCATCTAAGTCCATCGTACTTGCAAACGATAACGCAGCTATCCTCGGTGAAAAAAAAAAAAAAAAAAAAAAGAGAGAGAAGAAGAAAACGGAGATGGAGATTTGTGAAATCGCGCGGCCGATGATATTCGTGATATTCAGGCTCGCGTGGCTACGAAGACATCTCACACGACTAGCGTGTAATCCTCGGCAATTACTGCCGCGTGCAGGCAATTTCCAAGCTCGCGATAACGCCGCAACGTTTCCCTTTTTATCCGCGTTCCGCGTTACGGCCAAAAAATTCGGAATTGACAACCGTCGATATATACGAATGTCGGTGCAAAGAATATTGTTCACGTTGTCGAGTTACGCGGCCGAGTAGTTACACGCATTTCTGCGGATAGCGCGTTATATACCTTACGTTCGGTATATACCTAACGAACGTAATAATGTATACAAGCTAACTCGTTATTATATACATAATAATGTATACAGGCTAACGCGTTATTATATACATAATAGTGTACATAAGCAACGGTCTGAGAGAGAGAGAGAGAGAGAGAACGATCGGTAAGTACATAGGATGAGACGTTTATATACCCCTGACGATGATCATAATGCTTGGAATTACGAGACGCCTTTACGAGCGAGTGCAACTCGCGCCAGACGTCAAGAGGCGAACCTCCGTTTCGAGAGAAGAGTTTGATGGCGCGACACCAGCCTAACCTCCGAAATATCAAACTGTTCTCCTCTGTGCGAAGCCTCGACCTTTTCTTTCTCCAGAGACCTCGCTCTGCTCGACTCTCTCTCTTTTTTTTTTTTTTTTTTTTTTTTTTTCAAAAAGAGAAGCGTCGGTCGTAAATTTAACACATCCTTTTCTCACCCAATTTTGTTTCGTTCTTTTGGATTACATCCAGCAGTTTATAATTTCCAATTTCACAAAAATTATTGTAAACGAAAGAGGAGGAAGGAAAAGTGAAGCTTTTGGAAACTGAAGGATAACTTACTTTTAGGATTGATCGTTTGACCGTATTTATTGTCGACTTTGCCTGTTTCAGAATTCAGCGCGGGCCAGTGCCAGAGGCAAGGATGGAACGCGCTGGGGCTGCGACAGGTGCACACTGGCCAGACGGTGACGGTGGTGTCGGGCAACGCCGGGAATCGGTATCGGGTGCAGTCCAACGACGGTTTGTCCTCCGTGCTGGTGGTTCGTCGACTGATGGACAAATGGGGGGCCAAGAGCGAGGGGAGAGCCGCGGCCGGGGCGCCCAGCGTCGGACAGAATCACGTCCGATCGGTGCATCGTCGTATAGACGAACATTTCGCGGCCCGGCGAGAGATCGACAGGATAACGGTTGGTTATACCACCGAATTCGCAATTGTATATGTCTGTACTATCATGTGTCTGGTCTACGTCTGTCTCGAGTATAGAACGAGATCGGGCTGCTGACCAGCCAGCTGAGGAACGTCGAGAGAAGGATGCTGCGAGCCGCGAGGGAAAGAAACGAGGGATCTCTGGCCGACACCGGGCTGCCGTTTCTCTTCGATCGCACCTGTCGCGCGATCTTCGCCCTCCTCGAGGATCTCGCGAAAGCGCGAACAGTGAGCAAGCGTTTCCCGCCACACGAAACCGAATATTATTCTCGTTTACTCTGTCTTAGTCTATTCTGTGTTGAATTGTTAGTGCACGTACTACTAAAAAAAAAAAAAAAAAATGAAACAGTAACTTTTTAAGCTTCATTTCACAATATAGTCACTTTTCTTTTGTTACGTTTTCCTACACACCACGCACTTCCATCTTTTACTCTGAATTACTAATACTCGTATGTTTATCATATTTCATTTCTCAAATCGTTTCCTTTGCTTTCCGCAATTCCGTACGAATCAACTAACAAACGAAATGACTGACGGCAGAAATTTTTCTATAATATTGTTCAAACAGCAGAACAGATTTGGTTGTGTCACAGGTGCGGGAACGAGCGGGCCACGAGCTTCGATGCTCGGTGGAGTTGCTGCTGCTGGTGACGAGGTGGAACGCCAGCGACGAGAATTACGAGGCGCTGCGAGCAGCGATCGGCTTCGAGCCTCGTCCGTCCGATCGGCTGGTGAGTAACGACTGATTGTGACGCGTCGTTTGCATGGTAATCGAATGTCGATGCAGGACTGGGAGGAGACGGCCGACGCGGCGCTGACAGCGTTGCTCGAGTCCACCTCGAGGAAGTCCGCTGGCACGGAGACGGGGTGCTCGTCCGCGTGGAACGCCCTCACCCCTATCGCCACCGTCAGGGAGCTGAGCAAGCTGAAGACGCGTCTGGCACACGCGATCGGCCGACTCGCGGGCGCCAGGGAGTCCGACATTGCCGAGATGGAGGCCAACGACGTCGCCGAGTCGTCTGCTTAACGTTAATCTTCAAAATCTTCTTTGCATCGAATGTGCAACGGGCGACAATTTTGGTTCCTCGATCGATCCGAGGTATATTAATATTCTCGTACGGACGAGAAATTAACTCGACGAATCGCAACGTCGCGTCGTCACGCCACGATGATTCATTCTGGCGCCGCGATTCTGCTTTCCCGGCTGGTTAATTAACGAGAGAATCGCGCGGGTCGAAAGATTGCACGACAATGCGCGTTTTGTTCGGCGGTTTCAACTTGCGGGAAAATGTTCGCATGTTTGGAAGCAGACGAATCGAATCGAATCGAGTTAAATCGGATCGAAGCGTTTGGCTCTCGTAACGGATTCGTTTACCGCTCGCGATAACCGAGCTGCCGGTCGAGGACGTTTCGAGGAAAGAGCGTCCGCGGTCGGAAGCGGCGCTTCAGAGGAAAGATCGCATCCTCACGATGAGACATCGAGCGACAGACAGACTCTAGATTCTTTTCGAATCTTTTCGTCTCGATCGTGTAGGTTCATCCACTTTTTCGGTGGGTGGCAAAGTTTTTCAATTCTGTTGCTAATAATTTTCTAGCGTTTCAAGTGTTTTATTTGAAATTCACTTCAAAGGGCAGTTCTTATTCGGTAGTACTTATTTGAAACAGCTGCTTTTACTAATTATATCGAATATAGCCCCCGTAACGTTGTCGTAATTTATATCTGCGAAGCTTGTAAATTTTTTTCGATAATTGCAACAAACGTATATATAGGAGTATATCCACGAGCGATGTCTGTTTGATACTGTACTGAAATTTTATTTCACTTGAGAGTTGATACAGTTTTAATTTATACTATGATTTAACAACAGGCTGAACACTAGATGCCAATATACTTCACTGGAACATAAGCTATGTTATAATGAGTTAAATTATTGTCACACGACAGTGTTTATTAAACTTGAAGAAAACATTACTAATGGGTAATTATTTGCCTCTATGTTTGCTTTGGTGAAGGGGGTCAATTTCAAGTGGCAAAGCCTCTTGAGATACCAAAGCTAATATAGAAGTTATAATAGTTATATAATATCTAGAAGTGATATTACTCTTTAACTAGGAGGAGTGATAATTTTATCTCAATTTTTCTTTTGCCTTGCGAGTTGTATTTAAACATACACGTGAAACTGAGAAAATGTTGCAACTCGCGAAAAAATTCTCCACCTTGCGTGACAAGGTCAAAGGTTAAAGAGAACGAGCTAACAAAGATGTCCAACGAAAAATACCAGAGGCTAGACCAGGATCCAGAGTGCAAGAATACTTAACATTCTTGCGCCTGTCTTTGACAAGCTTCGCGACGCTTGCCAGAGAGGAGAAGAGAGAGGAGGAGAGGAGAGGCGACGCAGTATTACGCGATAGGTGTCTCCGATGCGCCGCGGTGGATTACGCGGAAACGCGAGCGAGAGGTGTGCGTCGAGCGTCCTTCCTTCTCGGAAGGAAGACCGTTTCCCCGACGCGAAACGCGAAACGCGATTACGCCCGCTGTTTCTTTGTCGATGCTCGACTGCGCCGCGTCGGTGGAAACCAGGTTCCAGGTGCCGACGAATCGCCTCGTTGAAAGAGAAGATGCGCGGGAATTTTGGCGCCAACTGTCCGGAAAAGATTGTCAATTAACTGATTGGCCGCTAATTGGCTAGCCGATAAAATTAATTGCCTCTTTACCTCTTTGTCACCAGGACACGATCGAGAACGTATGTATGTTGGCGAACGACAAGTTATATAGAATGAGAGCAAGTATTATTATTATTATTATTATTGTTATTCGTTACAGTAAGTTATTTTGTTTTTTACTAATGCTCTCGGCTAGTAAGTTATTTAGAGTAAGATATTATTGTTATTATTTATTAGACTAAGTTGTTTTGTCTCCTTCCTTCAACATCCTTCTTATAGGTTTGCTATTTATAAACACGTTTTTGTCAAAATAATTTGATGGCGCATCGAAGCTCATTTGAAAACGAGAAAAGAAATTGGCACGTAGGATACACACGAGTTTGGTTGGACGATCGCGGGCGTCGCGTCGCTTCGCGTCGATTCCCCTCGCGTTCTCTCTTCCCCTCTCACTGCCCTCCGCTCCACGCAGGCAGCTTCGTCATCATCCTCCTCCTCTTCCTTCTTCTCCTTCCGCCCCTTCCGCTGCCCCTTCTGTCGCTCTGCCGCGCCAGCCTCCTCGCCCCGCGCTGCCGGCAGGCAGGCTGAAGCAGGATACGGTCGTTTCCGGAAACGGCGATCGAGATTACGCGCGAACCGTACGCCGCAGCCTCCTTCCTTTTTCGCGCCCGCTTCGCCGAGATTGCGTCGTCGCGACGCAACGACCTCGAGAAACCAGTTGCCCGTTTTGAATTTCCCGCCGGATCATCGTATCATCGTTAGAGAGAGAAAGATTTTTGGAGTCTCGTTTGCTCTCTCGTAGATGCATCGGAGCAAAATAAGCAATAAATTTATTACTTCTTAATAATTTCTATCCATCTACAGTGATATCATATCAACGAGTTCAAAGAGAAAGCGACGATTTATTGTATACAGTTTGGTCACTCGTTATGGACCGCAGTTAGTTACCAACGCAAGTGGCTAACCTCTTGCTACGCAGGTCGAGAAATTTTTGCTCCAAAATTGCAAAATTTTCTCAGTTTCAAGTACTTTAAACATAATCCAGACAAGACAAGTAATAAATTTATTACTTTTCAATAATTTCTATCTATCTACAGTGATATCATACCACCCAGTTCAAACAGAAAGCGACAACTTGTTGTATACAGTTTGGTCGCTCGTTATGGTCCGTAATCAGTTACCAACGCAAGTGGCTAACCTCTTGCTACGCAGGTCGAGACATTTTTGCTCCAAAATTGCAAAATCTTCTCAGTTTCAAGTACTTTAAATATAATCCAGACAATACAAGTAATAAATTTATTCTTAAGGTAAAACAAGTAATAAATTTATTCTTAATAATTTCTGTCTATCTACAGTGATATCATACCACCGAGTTGAAACAGAAAGCGACAACTTGTTGTATACAGTTTGGTCGCTCGTTATGGTCCGCAATCAGTTACCAACGCAAGTGGTTAACCTCTTGCTACGCACGTCGAGAATTTTTTGCTCCAAAATTGCAAAATTTTCTCAGTTTTAAGTACTTTATATATAATCCAGACAAGACAAGTAATAAATTTATTACTTTTCAATAATTTCTATCTATCTACAGTGATATCATACCGACGAATTCAAAAAGAAAGCGACGATTTATTATATACGGTTCGGTCACTCGTTATGGTCCGCAGTCAGTTACCAGCACAAGTGGTACTTACTTCTTACGTCGACAATTTTTTGTCCCAAAATTGCAATATTTTCTCAGTTTTAAGTATATTTAAATATAACCCACGTGAAACAAGTAATAAATTTATTTGATAATTTCTGTCTATCTACAGTGATATCATACCACCGAGTTCAAACAGAAAGCGACAACTTGTTGTATACAGTTTGGTCGCTCGTTATGGTCCGCAATCAGTTACCAACGCAAGTGGTTAACCTCTTGCTACGCACGTCGAGAATTTTTTGCTCCAAAATTGCAAAATTTTCTCAGTTTTAAGTACTTTATATATAATCCAGACAAGACAAGTAATAAATTTATTACTTCTCAATAATTTCTATCTATCTACAGTGATATCATACCACCCAGTTCAAACAGAAAGCGACAACTTGTTGTATACAGTTTGGTCGCTCGTTATGGTCCG